CACGCTACAGGGTCTCGATGTCTTTCTTGTAGTGAGGGGCCCAAAACTGAACACAGTACTCACGGTGTGGCTTCACCAGGGCTGAGTAGAGGGGGATAATTACCTCCCTGCCCCTGATGGCTGCACTATTTCTGATACAAGCTGGGATGCCATTGGCCTTGTTGGCCAGCTGGGCACCCCGCTGGATTACGTTCAACAATCACAAAAGGAAAAAATAAAATAAAATAAAATAAAATAAAATAAAATAAAATAAAATAAAATAAAATAAAATAAAATAAAAGCCACCAGCACATATTATAGACCTGCTGCCTTCCTCAGTCTCCTCTCCTATCCACCGGGGGGTGATGTCCGCCCGCCCGCGGCCCCGCGGCGGCTGCCGCACCGCACAGCGCTGACCCACCAGCAGGTGGCTCCTTCCCACCGCGCAACGCTGTGAGGCCCCAGAGCTGCGCCTCTTCGCTCCTCGCAGGGTAATTCAGCGGCATACTGCTGGATGGCTAAAGGAATGCGGAGCGGAAAACATCGCTTTTCGAAGTGTAATAGCTTTTGCGGGGATGTAACACACTTGTTTAAATGAATACTCGTAGTACTACACACATAAACAGAGTTGTATTTATTCGACTGGAGTCTCATCTCAGATCTGCTTGAGCAGATCTGAAACAGTTCAGCTGTAGGCAGCAGAGATACTACAGATGGGAATGACAGGGGAATTTGGTCCATTGTTAAAATATCTTCATGTAGAAACAAAGTAAGAAAACTGAACCACAACCAGGTCCCTTCATGATGGGCTACATTGACTCTAACCTGAACCCTCTTACAGACAGTGAGGTTCCACAGGCATGAAGGAGAGCCACCCTTATTTGAACTACCTGGTCCAAAAGGGACTGTCTTGTATCTTATTAATAAAGAAAGCTCCTTCACAATAAGTGCTATTTATATATATATTAAAGTAATAATAATAACATTGCAGATGAGCTTAGACCTCTAAGGCACCCGCTTCAAAGCTTATTGACTTCAAGAACTTTGAAAGTTCAGGCTGAATCAGACTTTTGTGGTTCAATCATTGTCTCTGTAATAGGCTTGAGCTGGAATTATGAACCTGAATTAACCAAAACACAAAGGAACACTTAGCTTTATAACATGTCCTAAAAGCAAACCTCTTTTTTAGTCTCACCGAATCTCAGAAGCTTAGATCCTATTACACAACTGAACTTGATAACTCTGACTTGAAACACCTGATTTCAGTAAACCCATATATGAAGGTGTGAAACCTTCAAAATTTAAAGAATTTTAATTTCAATTCAAAAGCAAAATTTCCAAAATCCAGAGTTTTCTTCTCAATCACTGAACTTAAAGTATACAAGCCCAGAGCTCAGTGTGATTTCACACCATTCCACCTGAAGTTGCTGCCATTTCTGCTGACAGTTCAGGTCAGAATTTGGAATAATGAAGTAAAAGGTTTGGAAGAAAAGGTTTCCTGAACATGTGCTTCAAAAACATTTATTTACGTGCATGTGTTAGGGCAATGAAGGAATACTATTCCCTAATTGCTTCCCTCTGCTAATTTCAGTCTTATCCCTCTCAGCCATCCAAACCTAAATAGATCTGAGGTACTCCTCACCTTTTATCTCCACTGAATCCTTACTGCTTCCAGAATTTACACCACTCCTTTACTTTCTCAAGATATACCAAATGACATTGAGGTTGAAGTTTAGCCAGTATATTCCACATTCAATTGGCTATTGAAAACTGATCTCTTTTTCTTCTTTCTTTTTCCTCCATAAAAATCATTTCTTACTTTCCTTTAAATTATAGGAGGCTTAAGAATTGAAATACCTATACTGTGAGTTATTTCTGCTTTTATCTCTCCTGGGGCAAAACCATCACCTGCCCTCCTAAGGTACATCTGATATGCTCCACTGGGCTAGGTACTTCTGTGGGCTCCTCTGAACCTTCAGTGGGCTCCATAGCAGGCCCAGGCAAAATGTGCTCAGCAGTACAGTGTCTCAAACATAGAATACTCTGGGAACAGCTATCCAACATATTTCATATTCTAATTTTTTAAAATGAATTTTGCTGTGATTTATCCAGATATTTACCATTTTCTGATCCACGGTCATACTAATAATTGATGCATGAACTCTTTAATGTGAAAACATGAGCTGTTGGTGGGTTAATTTTGGTCCTTCTTCCCTCTTTGATAACAAAGGCAGTTCTGGTACTCTTCCATTTCCAGAAAGCTGTGTAACAAAAGTTTCTGCCCTTCTCAGACAGCCTGACAAGAAAGGGGTTTTGTGGAGCTGTCAGAAGCTGAGGCTCACAGGTTATTATTTAGACACATAAACAAGCAAAAGGCAATTTCTGCTACATGGTTGAAACTTTGGATCCCAGCATTCTATGGTGCAAAGCACACACCACTCTTTTAAGGCAACGGATGTGAGCAGGTCGCTTCCCACCTGCTTCACAGAGCAGCAATTAGCAGCACAGTGGCATTAGCAAGACACTTCACACCAGCTTTCAAAGCGATGACCTACAGAAGCTGTGACAGACCAGTTAATTGTAACACCTGGGGGAGAAGTGCCTGGCCTGACTCTTCGGGGGGGGTGAGCACAAGGCCTTACCCGCTGGCACAGGGCCCTGCAGGAGCATCTTTGCTGTCTGCCATCCCTGCATCTCTCCTGTCAAAGGGAACCTTCCCACCCTCTGTGGTCGACTTTTGTGTTTCCTTTCTTGCTCAGGGATGGATGCTGCACGCCTGTGAGTGCCCTCTCATCCACATTTGCCATAAACACCCAGAGCACCTGTTTACTCTGACTCACCCACCCCTCATGCAGACTCTCCCTTTTTTTGACAGCAGACCTCACTCAGGCAGTATGTGTTGCTAATATCCTTTCAGGACCATGTAATAACATGCCTTCTACCCAATTCCTAACATCCTTCAATCAGCTTGGCTCAGCCAGTGGGCTAACTGCTTACGCTTCTGTGATTTATATAAGTGCAATTAATTTGAACTGCATCACTCCGGTGTTATGCTGGTGAAAATGCCCTGAGAGGGAGTACCTCACTGGTGAATCAGACCCTTTGCTTTTAACAAATATACAAAGGAACAGATCTCGAGCCAGTGAAAATCTGCACGGCTCCATTCATTTCAGCACAGGGACTTAAAGCAGCTTGAGGCCTGAATCACAGCTCGTGTAGCAGACTATTTAGATACAGACTAATGCCTCACATCCTGAAATGCAATGCTTTCCCAGAGCTGGCAGGGAACAGAGAGCTGAGAGGGGACCAGCGTCACGAATGTCCCTTTCAAAAATATGCTTTGGATTTCATCGTTTCTGTAGAGTGAAGGAAAGCAGCAGCTTTGCTCTCTGTGCTGTGCAGTGCTGCGCTTCTCCCTTCAGCCCAGCTACAGAGCAGGTAACCGGGAAGTCCCTTTCGTTGCCACTTTCCCTCTCCTTCCCCAGCCTGGGTGTGTTCCCTACAGCCTGGAAGCCCATGTGACAACTCCCACTGCCACACACAAGGGAGACGCTGAACAGCTGAACCTTTTTAATCAGTTCTTGAAAATGGCCAACTTTCTCTGCACTTGTTCTGGCATCCCAGAGATTAAGAAGCCATGCAGCTTGACAAAGCACTTTGTTCTGACGTGTCTTAACAGAACCAGAGGGGCTTTTTTTTTCTTTTTTTTTTTTCCCTCACGTCTCTGTTCCAACACCTGCTGCAAAAAATGGGCTGGGGTGGGCTCTGTAAAACACAGGACACAGCCCTAGCGGCACACCGCACAGCATACCAATATGTGCCCGGGCAGGTGGAGTTAAAAGCTAAGGGGGGAGAGCAATGGAGAGGGCAGAATGGGAAGACAGACAGTGTGGTCCGTGTTAGAAATCTACCAGCACTCAGCTGTCCACGTTTTCAAAACACAAATGTTTGAAAATTAATATATATATATATATATATGCACACACATATATATATCTGTGACTAAATGCCTCCTCTGAACCAATCTAGATAACCAGTACATTCTGTGGCCCATTTGAGAAACTTTCATCCTAAATGAAATACATAACAAAGATTATACCTTCTTAGGATATCAAGAGGTCTTAAACATACTAATGGAGAAATGCATTTAAGAGACATCACTCAGTCTGTAATTTGAGGGGGGGTTGCTTATCTGTGCATCTTTTAACTGCTTCGAGTAATTAGGAAAATTCCCTTGGCAGTGTTCTAAGAGGACAGGCAAAAGAGTGACACAGTAATTCCCAAGGAGGGAAAGGTTGAAGCTTTGCATTTCGTAGATTTTTAAAGTTAAAAGGAAAAAAAAAGGAAGTATTCTTCATAAGAACAGCCCGTCTGAACCAGTATGCATATGTACAGCATATCAAACCTATCACCCCCTCTAAAATGTTTCCACGGGCTACTCCCTCAGCTTGGGCTCACCAGCATCTCGCTGGCCCCTGTGCCTGAAAGGGGCAGGCTGGGGAGCACGCTGCTCGTCCCCAGCATTTCCTGAGTGCAGATTTCAAAGGCAGCTCCCGGAGTGTGGAGCAGCACACAGCTTGCTCCAAGCCTCGCTTTGCCGCATAACATCTCTCTTGCAATGTCCCCCCCCCCCTTTCTGCTCTTAATGGCCAGTGTGTCCCACTGTAATTCTGATATCAAACATCTGGAAAAGAGGCTCT